GTGTTGTGCTCCTTTTAGCTTCCAGCTAGTGTTGTGCTCCTTTTAGCTTCCAGCTAGTGTTGTGCTCCTTTTAGCTTCCAGCTAGTGTTGTGCTCCTTTAGCTTACAGCTAGTGTTGTGCTCCTTTTAGCTTCCAGCTAGTGTTGTGCTCCTTTAGCTTACAGCTAGTGTTGTGCTCCTTTTAGCTTGTGTTCTTCTTCAGCTTTAACCTGTCAGTTCAGCTTCTTCAGCAGGTTTCAGAAGTATAAGTAGAGTTTAGATGTCAACAAAAGGCTAAAAGGCTTCATCAGCTAAAACCAGATCTACTCTTAAAGAACAAAGATCATCAGGTTCTGTAGTTTAAACTACAGATTGGTTCTGTAGTTTATTTGGTTCTGTAGTTTAATTGGTCCTGTAGTTTAACTGGTCCTGTAGTTTAACTGGTTCTGTAGTTTAATTGGTTTTGTATATCAGTTCTGTATTTGGGTTCTGTAGTTTAACTGGTTCTGTTGTTTAGATAGATAGATCTGTCTTCTTTTGTTTGGTTTTGTAGTTTTGTCCTGTAGTTTAATCGGTTCTGTTTGGTTTTGTGGTTTAAATATTTTAGTTTGATCAGTTCTGTACTTTAATTGGTTCTGTAGTTTGCTTGGTTCTGTAATTTCTGTTTAACTGGTTCCATAGTTTAATTGGATCCGTAGTTTAATTGGTTCTGTAGTTTAATTGGTTCTGTAGCTTAACAGGCTCTGTAGTTTAATTGGTTCTGTAGTTTAACTGGTTCTGTAGTTTAATTGGTTCTGTAGCTTAACAGGCTCTGTAGTTTAATTGGTTCTGTAGTTTAACTGTTCTGTAGTTTAACAGGCTCTGTAGTTTAATTGGTTCTGTAGTTTAATTGGTTCTGTAATTTCTGTTTAACTGGTTCCATAGTTTGATTGGTCCTGTAGTTTAATTGGTCCTGTAGTTTAATTGGTCCTGTAGTTTAACTGGCTCCGTAGTTTAATTGGTCCGGTAGTTTAATTGGTAGTTTAATTGGTCCTGTAGTTTAATTGGTCCGGTAGTTTAACTGGTTCTGTAGTTTAACTGGTTCTGTAGTTTAATTGGTCCTGTAGTTTAATTGGTCCTGTAGTTTTATTGGTCCTGTAGTTTAACTGGTCCTGTAGTTTAATTGGTCCTGTAGTTTAATTGGTCCTGTAATTTAATTGGTCCTGCAGTTTAATTGGTCCTGTAGTTTAATTGGTCTGGTAGTTTAATTTGTAGTTTAATTGGTCCGGTAGTTTAATTGGTCCTGTAGTTTAACTGGTTCTGTAGTTTAACTGGTTCTGTAGTTTAATTGGTCCTGTAGTTTAATTGGTCCTGTAGTTTAATTGGTCCTGTAATTTAATTGGTCCTGCAGTTTAATTGGTCCTGTAGTTTAATTGGTCCTGTAGTTTAATTGGTCCTGTAGTTTAACTGGCTCCGTAGTCTAATTGGTCCTGTAGTTTAATTGGTCCTGTAGTTTAACTGGTCCTCTAGTTTAACTGGTCCTGTAGTTTAATTGGTTCTGTAGTTTAACTGGTTCTGTAGTTTAATTGGTTCTGTAGTTTAATTGGTCCTGTAGTTTAATTGGTCCTGTAGTCTAACTGGTCCTGTAGTCTAACTGGTTCTGTAGTCTAACTGGTTCTGTAGTTTAATTGGTCCTGTAGTTTAACTGGTTCTGTAGTTTAATTGGTTCCGTAGTTTAATTGGTTCTGTAGTTTAATTGGTCCTGTAGTTTAACTGGTTCTGTAGTTTAATTGGTCCTGTAGTTTAACTGGTTCTGTAGTTTAATTGGTTCTGTAGTTTAATTGGTCCTGTAGTTTAATTGGTAGTTTAACTGGTTCAGTAGTTTGCTCTGCTCTTTAGGGACTTCTGGCCCCAGGTCTTCTCACCTTCTTGGCCTTGTTGATCATGGACCGGATCAGGTCCTTGATGTTGTGGGTCTTGTCCCTCTGGAAGTAGATCTGGGTCTCGGACGGGCCGAACCTCAGCGGGGGTTCGGGCCAGCCGAGCTCCAGCATCGGCGGCTCCTCGTCGGACATCATGGGGAAGTAGGTCCCGGAGGTGAGCTCGGACACGGCGTCCCCGTCCCCGAAGTCCCGCTCAGAGCCGGAGCCGGGGTCGGAGCCGCAGGTTCTGCTGGACCCGTGCTGGGTGATGTACCGGACCTCCAGCGGGGACAGGAAGTTGAGCTCGCGCTCCTCGGCCAGCACCCGGCGGTACTCCTTCTCTCCGAGCTCCAGCAGCGCGTCCGTGGCCAGGCGCGCCGCCTCGTTGTGGCTGAGCTCCAGCGCGGAGCCCTGCCGCCACGGGTTCTTCACCTCCTCCAGCCGGGAGGCGAGCTTCCCCAGCGGCTTCCTGCTGCTGGAGCTCGGCCTCAGGCCCTCGGAGCTGATCATGCTGGCGCCGGGTTTGGATCAGAATCCCTCCAGAAACAAAGAAAAACTTGAAGCACCGGAAACTAGACCCTGCTGGGTTCTGGTTCTGGAACCATGCTCGCTGTCCGAACCGACTGAAGCGGATTAAAGCAGATTATTAATCCGGCTCCAGGTGAGAACTCCTCCGCTGCTGTCACAATAATTACACTCAGACCTGGAGCTGCAGCCGGGGAGGGGGGTGAGATGCTCTCCGGTTCCCGGTCCGGTCCGGTCCGGTTCGGATGTGAAGTCCCAGGAGAACGGAGCGAGCCGCGGCCTCTTCCTGCTCCTCGGTGTTGTGTTGCAGGTGAGTGTGGCTCCGGCTCACCTGTTGCTCCGCTGCGCGCTCATTGGTTGGTCCGCGAAGACACGCCCCTCCGCCTCCTGCCGTCGTCAGGGGCAACCGGCTCACAACAGGGAAGACGGCATCCGGTTGAGAGTTTCAAAATAAAGCAAGTGAATTTAAAACAAAGCACCAAAAATTAGCAGTTGGCAAAAATATGAATTATAATATAGTTAAAAAGAGGTTATAAACATGATAT